TGGCTAACATGTTGGTGACTTCTTGTTGAATTATTTTACGCTCCGTGGCAGACACCCGGTATAGTCGCCGATGAATGGGATGAGAATCACCTGTGTTAATGCGGTGCTTGACGAGTGAAGTCTGGCCAAGTGGACGGTGGTCGATGTCGAATATGTTGCGCTATGAAAACCAGAAGGCGGCATAGCGCGGTTGACTTCTCAGGTTTGAGGTCCGGGGCGATCATGGAGCGTAAGGTCGCATCGAGGCACGTGGCATACTGTGAGTGATGTGGGTGCTCGGGACATACGTCTGCCGTAAAACAGGTGACGTGGTCGTCAATCAAGGGCCTTAGTGTGGCGACTGAAATTCCTTGGGGTAGTACTTGTTTTTAAAAAACCGAAATTGATAACAGGTAAATATGTTCGGTTAGAGGCCACGCTTACGACAGAGTGTGTTACAGTAATGTCACGCGCCAGGAGAACATCAGTAATCGGCGTCACGATATAATCACCGTCGAGCACGGGAGAGGGTGATGTCAATTCGATGAATGTGAGAGCTTTAGGCGGTATCCGGAATAAGTCAGTGGTGCACAAGCTGTTCGGGAGTTCAGGGTGAGAATCCGGGAGAAGAGGAAGTTCTAGCCAGAGAGTACCGGCGGCACAATCGATGAGGGCAGAATGCGTCTATAGGAAGTCCATGCCGAAGATTAGGTCGTGGGGGCAATTTTCAAGCACCGTAAATAAAACGGGAACGTGGCGGCCGGCAATACTAACACGAGCGGTACACATTTCAGTGATGGCCACAGTTCCACCATCAGCGACATGGAGGGCTTTAGTTGCTGCAGGCGTGAGGACTTTTTTGAGCAGGCGACACAGATGAGCACTCATTATGGACACTTGAGCTCCGGTATCGACTAACGCCGTCAAAGAAATACCGTCCACATACACCTCAATCAAGTCCGTATCAGTGGGGAGCGTCGATGGAGGATTTGGATCATTCGCAAGCGATGCAGCACTACCTCCCGGAGCTGCATGATCTAGTTTTCCGTTCGAGAGGATCCATAGTTGACCGGCGACGGATAGCGGCGTGGTTGGGGCGATGGGGAACGGCGGCGTTGAGGTGGCGGCGAACGAGCAGAGGTGCGGCTGTTGGGGATGTCGGAAGAAAGGTACACACGACTGGGCGAATATTGACGGGAATCCTCGTATGGTCGATTAGAGGAAAATTGGCTCCAGTTTGAGGGCGTCCAAGTGCTGCGGCAGTAGCGGGAGATATGGCCAACTCGGTGGCAGCGGAAGCAGATCGGCTTGTCGTCTGCAGTTCTCCATTCCGCCGGATGGCGGGATCACGGAATAAAGTGTAAGTCATGGCGTGGTGCACTTGGTGTCATTGGTCTGGAGACGGGTCGGGAGACAGAGCAGGCCACAGGAAAACCAAGCTTTTCAATTTCCTGCCTCACGATGGCTTGAATAACGGAGACCGGCGGAGGCGTTTGTGCGACGCCATGGTCGAGCAGATGTGGAGGAAATGGTGCCGTACTTGACGCCTCAAGCTCCCGTGGAACTATTCGTGTCACGCTGTCCTGCATGGGTGGTGTGGCACCGAGATCGGTGCAAAAGGATGTAACAGCCGTGTTTGGTAGCCGCGTAAATTGAGGCAGAACACGGCGGCTTTTGGCCATTTCGAAGCGACGACCTTCCTTGATAGTCATATCTACGGTCGTGACGTTAGTGTAGACGAGCGAATTGAAGGCGTCGTCCGCGATGCCCTTAAGTATGTGGCCCACCTTGTCACTCTCTGTCATTTGCTCGTCGACTTTTCGGCACAACCCGAGCACATCCTGTATGTACGAGACATACGACTCTGTTGACGACTGCACACGAGTGGCGAGTTCTTTTCGCGCTTCCATTTGGCGACCGGACGGGTCCCCAAAGATGTCGCGTAGTCGCTCCTTGAAATATCCCAGCTGGTGAGCTCGGTCTCATGGGCGTCGAACCAGACCCGTGGGGTGCCGTCCAAGTAAAATATTACGTTGGCGAGCATCATGGTAGGGTCCCATAGGTGTGTGTGGCTAACACGCTCGTACATACGAAGCCAGTAGTCGACGTCGAGCCCAGGTTGTGCGGAGAATGTACCGGTATCACGGGGGCTGGGTGTCGTCAGGTATATGTAGTGGCTAGACCTACAGATGGAGACGCTGACAGGCTGTTGTCATTCGTAGCGATGGCCGGAGACTGAATGGTGCGGCCACTGCGAAGCTTCGTGGTGAAGACGGGGAACGTTCCACCTCCACCAAATAAGACGATAGTTATAGCGCGAGAACAAAACGACGACACAGAGACAAGAAGGACACGAAAGACTCTGTGTCGTCGTTTTGTTCTCGCGCTATAACTATCGTCATGCCATACCAACTAGCCCGAGCTGCCACACTCCACCAAATATGTTACGGAAAAGAAGAGACGCCGTAACGACGAGGCTGGGGATTAGATATATTCAAAACCAGCGGTAATGGCGTGCTCGGTTCACCAGCGATCGAGCGGAGCCAACTCTTCGTCTTCTTCGTCAGGCACACACGCGCGTCGCCCCCTAGAATATCAATATACATGCATGTAGCAATATTTTGGGTGTGAGAGGGGACAGAGGAAGGGTCGTTTGCATGGCAAGTGGGTGTTCAACCACAATGCGACGTGTCGGCTTGTGAATGCAGTGAAAATATTGGTTGAAAAGTGGGGGTTAATGTCCCAAAACCACCACATGATTGTGAGAGACGCCGTAGTGGAGGGCTCCGAAAATTTCAACCACCTGGCGTTCTGTAACGTGCACCCAAATCTGAGCACACGGGCCTGCAGCATTTCCGCCTCCATTGGAAACGCAGCCCGGGATTCTATCCCAGGACCTGTGGGTCAACATCCGAATACCTTAGCCACTAGACCACAGCGGTGGGGCTACAGTGAAAATACCTTCGTCTGCTTGATAATGTAGTTAAAGTAACCTTCATTCTCTATGAACACACGGTTTTTGTATCCATGCTTGACATTACAGCATGAAATATTGCACTAATAATGCGTGGTACCAGCGTACATTTCCAGCGGGCGTCAGAACATGCGATTATCATGATGAATTCATGGCTTAAAGCTGGTCAGCCACTACTCAAGGCACTCATTATTGCGACCATTCTCTTAAGGCCACGTAGGGGGTGCATAGCAAGTTCGAAAATATTTCGTGCACTAAGCGTTTGAAGTACGCACTAGGGATAAAATATCACTATCGCCTTCTGTTCATAAAGCTGAAGTTTAAGGGTTCCCCAATTTTTGTAAAGAAACACTTTTAGCACGCATCGGGAGGCTCGATTTTTTTACCATTCCCGTCGTATTCACTTTTACAAGAACAGCTTCGTGTCGAAATCTGATACACAGCTTGCTTCGCACGCGAAATAGACGTGTCCCCAACAGTTCACGACCGTCGATGCTCACGTTCACGTTGCTTGATGGATATTGCAGTCATTATTACCATAATCATTAAGGGCATACATTTCGTGGCGGGCTGAATGATATAATCTTGTTCGAAGGATTAAGGGCCAAAGTTGGTTGTGATATTGGAGAGAATAGTACTCTGCTCAGGCTCCTGAGAAGCATTCCAAAGCAGTAATCTCTAACTGTTACTGCGTACAAACTATAGAAGTTTCGTTGCAACGGTCTGCATCTCGCCTTTTCCAAAACCAGGCCTCAGCGAAAGGGTGCATTGTCACAAACAATAATGATCTGAGCGAAAATGTGTCTATTAATAATCAGATCGCCCCTTGTATCCGTAGAGCGGTCACTATAAATCAATCCTTATAAATATCTACGCAAGCTACTTTCGTTTATGTAGATATTTATGGTGTGTGTGTGTGTGTGTGTGTGTGTGTGTGTGTGTGTGTGTGTGTGTGTGTGTGTGTGTGTGTGTGTGTGTGTGTGTGTGACACATGTTTTCATAGCAAAAAAATTTTCAAAAATTAAGGAACAAAATCTGCATGCATAAGGTCTACTCGACAGAAAGAGGAAAAAGGACAGTTTCCGAATGCGGCTTGCGCATCTACAGTCCAAGACGCTGAGCTACAGCGTAGGTGTGTATCGTCGTGACACGCTTTTTCCTTGCCCTCATTGGGGTGGTGATCGCCGCTACGAAGTTCGCAAGGACCGCGAGCCGCGTTTACCGCTCACACGGCGCCAAGGTTGACAGCTGACACGCCGGACAACTGACGGCGCCACCTCGAGTTCCTCACCGGACGCGCCTGTATACGCAACGGCGTTTGTGACTACGTAATGAAACACGCTCTTTTCTTTGATGTCAAGACGTCGCGATCACATCCTGTGAATTAAACATTCGTAGCTGTTTTGCTGCTTCTGCACCTCACACGTTCATAGCGGTGAAGGCTAGTGGTGCGCAATAGAAGGAAACCATTGTTTGCACAGTGAGAATACAACGCAGGTAAATCCAGTGGCGCTTTCTAACGTGACTCCAGCAGTTGAATCAATCATTATGCGGTGCTTGAGCAGTGCACTAACTGCCCTTTTGATAGGGCTAAAAATTGGCCGATCACAAGTACCTTCGCAATCGATGCTATGCGAAGCCTGAGCATGGAAGTGACCGTGTTGTAATTTCTTTATTGGCTGGAACGTCATGATGTGGCGCTGAAAATACATGCACAAGTGCATGAATAGCGTTGGAAAAAACGTGCGCCCTAAGCGGCAAATGACCACAGCGCTAGCGCCTCTGGCGGCGTAACGATCATTCATGCTTGTTGCGCTAAAACGGCTGGTATATTTGATCAAACTTGAGCTTTTTTTTATTCTCAGTCAGAGATACGTTCAATTTAATTTAACAGTTCTGCGTATATTAGTGGCCCATTTGTGTTTCTTCAAATAGCTCCTTCAAATAGCCGAATAGCAAACAGTTATCTTCGACCGTCGTCGGCACCTCACCAGAGCGACAAAAGGCGTCGCGATGGGTGCTGACTGAGTGCGAACCATTGTCTGGCATACTTATCTGGTGCTGGGGTAACCGTGGCCAAGATGGCGGTACCCCCAGGGAGAGGCGTGGGCATTGCACTGCGCTCATGCTGACCCCTGCCACTATCCCAAACTGGGCAGATGGGGCATGCAATTTTTGGTGGGGGACTGCGTTCGCGCTCTCCCCCTATTTCAAAATCCTAAGGAAGATCTATACACCCGTTGAAACACTTGCGCGGCGGTGGATAGTGCAAGCTACTGAGAACGGGGTTCTCCGATATGGCTCTCTAGGAGCCGTTTTCTTGTAAATAGTGAGCGTTGCTCAGAGCCCGTGAAAACATACCTACCCACGGGTGCCTCTGAGAGAAAACCTGCGATATTCGAAGTTTTTATGCTATCTCTATTCGTATTATGTCTTCACTGTGGTTGAAGAAGACGAAGAAATATGCCTGAGGTAGGTATAGGCAGGTAAGGTACTTTATTGATCCACGAAAGAATCATATGAGGGGAGGTAGGGCAAGGGAGGTGGAAGCAGGATGACGATGGTTCCTCGAGCCACTCTAGGTGACCGGACATTGCTGTGCTTCGGCGACCCTGGCCCAGCTCACTATCCGGCGCTGTAACGCCGGTTGTGGCGAAGAGTGCCTAGCATCTCTCCTGTTGTACTGACAATTGTCACGAGGGCTTGGGTTTGTTCGGACAGTTCAGAAATACGTGATGGAAGTCGGCTCTGGTGCTATCACATAAGTTGCAATGAGGAGAGGTTTCGCCATCCGTAAAAAGGGTAAAAGGAAAGAAATCGTCACTGTGGGCACGTGAAGTCTGCGCCACAAAACCTGGTCATTTATAGAGAGAGATATTTATGTGGTGGGGGATACGTTAGGCTGGAAATTAGCTAAAATAGCGTGACATCGCTATAGTGAGAGAGAGAGAGAAATAACATTTATTTATACATCCGGCGTGTAGGAAATGCCCGGCCTCGCAGGGCGCGAATGTTCCCTATCTTAAGACTACGGCTATTAGAGTCCGATAATCTCAGAGCCTATACCTTGATGATGTTGTGCTCAGACTAGGCGACAGTTACTCGGTTGCCTCCGCCCCCTTAAAACGGGTCGTCGGCTCCTTTTCTCTGTTGCTTCGCCAAAGCCTCCTCAAGCCGCTGGATGGTGGCGGTAGCTGAGGATTCCATCCCTGGCACCTCAAAGCGAAGGCAGGTCGCTGGAGCCTGGGTGCGAGTGCTCGGGCTTGGGTGTCAGCGGCCGTGTTCGGACGAGTGCACACAAATGTAAGCGGATAGATAGATAGATAGATAGATAGATAGATAGATAGATAGATAGATAGATAGATAGATAGATAGATAGATAGATAGATAGATAGATAGATAGATAGATAGATAGATAGATAGATACCCTTAAAGTCACCAAAGATCGCAAAGAAATGCCTCGCATTTAAAAAGTGCCAGCAGCGTTTTTCGAATATTTGATGGTTCATTACCTGACAAGAATAGGAATGGCGAGAAAACGATGGGCACGAAGCAACCACACGAAGTGGACTGAAGACGAAGAAAGACGCGCTTGTTTGGGAAGTTCGTGTCCTCAGTTCCTCGTCGTCTTTTTTTTTTTTTTGCGCCAGGCTTATTTTTCACAAATAAAAAGTGTGTTCGCGACCTCGACCATGACATACTGTTGAAGGTACCATTTGATGTTGAAAATACCATATATTTATTTCTCACCAGGTAGCGGATAGAAGGTGCCACCTGAACCAAATTACCAAGGGTATGTGTGGAGTTTAGAACTGAGAACGGAAAATACGTATTTGTACCTCATCAGTTCATAAGCAGTGAATGGAAAGCAGGATAATATAATATACGCGTTTTGTGTCATTTCATGCCCAGCAAATCAACAGCAGGAGAACGTGAGTGAAATTCTCATTATTGTGCAAAGTATATGGAGGTAAGGTGACTATGTTGTAAATATTTAATTGACTTGAAACATTACGGAATGGCGCTAAATATATGTACAAGTGATGTTGTACGCGCAGACATATGTTAAACAGTTTCGTATCTACTGTGGCGAAACGATGCCAACAGCAACATGGGTATTAGCAAGCTGTTATAGTAGCTACCTCATTTGTAGCAAGCTGATTTGTAGTGTTTATGCCAGCGATGATGGTAGCCCCGAATGCTGCAAGATATGCGTGTTGCAAGCGTACCTTTAGTCGATCCGGCTTCAGTGGATGACGCTTCACTACAATTGTCGTTAACCTGACGTGATGGCTGTGTGATAGGTTTACGTATCTACTATTTATAAAATTAAATAAACAGGACTTCAAGCACATTTGACATTTCACGAACATTACTGTCCAGTCGAAAAGCAGTTCCTTGGACCTATATCGTGGCTCTGTGGTGTAATACCTGATCGTCACGCAGAATGCTGGGGATCCATCCCCGCTGGTCACTAAAATTTATTCTACGCTTTCGTTGGGTCAACGCTGTTGAAGACAGATCTTAGAGGCAAAGCTCAAAGGCTGACCTCATTGGCCTCTATCACTCCCCACAAAACCCAAACCAAAACTAACGACCTGCACAACTGAAAACGACAACATTAGAGTAAACAACCGACTTTATGAATATACAACTATACGACAACACAGCACATGATCACCTGTGCTGTCCGTCTGTCGATGCATCTGTCTTTCCGTCCATCCTTCTGGAATCCATCATTACGTCCATCTGTACGTCCACCTGTGTGACCGTCCACGTGTCCATCTGTTCATGCGTCCGTGATACCATCTATCCGTCCGGTATACCAGAGATCGAGTTCAAGGTAGACATTATAGACCTTAAGCCCTATAGCTTTGCCCACTCGTCGTCATTCACTTCGTGGAGATGCGCTGATTCTTCCTAACGCTCTCTAATTAAAATGACCTTTGTATGCTCGCGCCATTCCATGTTTGATATAAACTGTCAATCACATTTAGTGCCTTTCACATTTAGTGTCTGACTTGACGGCTGTATCGTAGGAGTACATATGTAATGCTTATAACATTGGCTAGCCATCACTGCATCCCCACTGGACGCTTCACAAACATTACGATCTACTTGAAAAGCATTTGCGAGACCTGGGGTGGCTATGTGCAGGACACTTGATTCCCGCGCAGAATGCTGGGGTTCGATTCCAGCTGGGACCCTGACAATTTTTCCTAACATTCAACGAGTCAGCGAAGCCGTGGTCACCTTTTAGGGGCGAATCCTCTGACGCCCTGAGTCATACGTCCCGTGTCGTCGTAGTCGTCGTAGTAGCTAGTTGCATTCCATTGCACGTCAATAAAAATGATGTCAGCATATCCACGGAGTGAATAATGATGAGCGGGGCGAAGTCGCCGTCAGTCCGTCTATGCGCCCATCCGTCCATCCGCACGTTCGTCAGTGGGTCCGCGCCTCCTTCCGCTCGTCCATCCATCTGTCCGTGCGTCTATACGTGCGTCTCTCAGTCCATGCGTCCATCCTTGTTTCTCACGTATTCAGTTTGGTGATCGACTAGGGGGATTAACCTCTGTGTGGAGAGCTTCGCCCCATTCATCATCATTCACCTCGTGGATATCCTGTGATTTTATTTTCCTAACGCTGCCGCGTTAACATTATCCATGTGTGTTCCCACCGTTCCTAGATATATATGAATGGTTAATCCCCTGTGGCACACAACCGAATACCAGGGGCACAATGGCACATACCAGGGTATGTGCCACTGTCTGGCGGAATATGTTCGACGTCCTACGCGACGAGATGGTGACATTATTCATGCCGTGAACAGCGTGTCGTATTCGTCAAACCATCTTACCCTCCAATAATAATTTTGGCTTGCCCCAAGTTAAAGGGGAGGGATCATGAGAACACCTGGGGGATAGATAGATAGATAGATAGATAGATAGATAGATAGATAGATAGATAGATAGATAGATAGATAGATAGATAGATAGATAGATAGATTAGATAGATAGATAGATAGATAGATAGATAGATAGATAGATAGATAGATAGATAGATAGATAGATAGATAGATAGATAGATACCCAAAAGCTTGTGGTAGTCAAAGAAATGCTTCGCATTTCAAAGTAAACAGATTTCAACGCTAGCTGCAGCGCACCACTTCGAAATTCAGATGAAACTCGTCTATTGGATTCATAGGTGGTAGATAATGGTTTGTTTCGAGCAGGTGAATTTTGCTCTTGTAGAAATCGCAACTTCAGAGATATAAGCCACAAGGTTATGATTCTCCAATACTCCATGAATGTGAGATGTTCAATGAGGGTGCATAAAAGATTAACCACGGTTTTTTATATCCATCAGAGACAGTTCATTGATCTCAAAGATTAGTTAAAATATTGCACATATTTGCTTTTGTTTCCACGCCATTTCTTTTTATCTTGTTGACTGACATTTGTGAGCGCGGCCTTTAAAATATCAACCTGATTTGCATATTAATTTAGTTGTGACTGAAAAATAAGCCTGAACCATAAAACACACAAATGGGCACATACACACACTCACGTGCGTCAGATGTGCTATAACAGATTATTATTAGCAAAACATTGTTACCTATGCGTTAACTATAATCTGTGTTACAAATTAAGAAAACTTCAGCCCCAAGTACTGCATTATTAATCTACTTGATACGCGTACACATTTTTTACTAAGGTTTTTCACAAGGAGGAGATCTAGCAAGGCATCATAGCATGAGTCAGTATTTAAAGCAATGCTAAGCTATATTCAGGAGTAAACTTCAAGCTTCAGGACGCCTCATGTACAGCAGTTGGACTTACAGTAATAGGCATGGCCCTGTATCTCAGTAGAAAAAAAAAGTTTGCGAAATTAACGTTCCGATTTGAGACACTCTGCTTTTCACATTATGCTGCATTGTTTAACATGTCTTTCATTGATACTTTTTGTGTCATAATGTTTGGGAACTATTTTCTAAAATAATTGAATATTACACTTTCAGCAGTCCGAAAAATGCATTTGCTTCTCTTTAAAGACGATACATTTAGTGAGATTAGTTCAGCGGCTGCGTAAGCAGACTGCACACATCAATGCAGACAAAAACATGAAAGTGAGCCTCACTTGCATGTTTTTAGATTGAGCCGGCCTCGATCTAAAATCTGTACTCCACACAGCAAAAGTTTACGGAACGTCGTCTCTTAGGTATATATTCCTGCTTTTTCTGGGAATATAAACTTTAACCGAATGTCTATCAATACATTTCGGCGCTAGATTAGAACCGTGAATTCCCAACAGATAAGAAATTCTCGTTTGCAGTGGGGCCCGTGTTCCGCAAAGTTTTGTTGTCGGCTGTACATTCGTTTCCAATTGAACAGAAGTTGATCTCCGGGAGCTTGCGGGTAACGCCGTTAATCACCATATTGTGATTATAGGGTTATTCTCAACAACCCATGCTTCCGCCACATAAGGATTGTACAGAGCTGGTGGACGTCGTTGTTCTTGCGTACCACGATTGCAGAGGTTGAGCTTTACGCCATGCGAAGTGGCACGTGTGCGTCTTTTGCGTCGACTGCTTACATTCTCTATTGCACGCCCGTTTTTTTTTCTTCGCGATATCTTCTGCTTGAGCCGATTTCAAACTGCGTACGGAGTACTGTTACCCTAATCACTGGTGCATCGGCCATTCCGTTTTTGACCGCTACCTATGAGGCTTTTCCCAAGCAACCTCGAAGTCATTCCAGAAGCGGCAACTGACAGATCTCTCCCCTCCGTGTTCCGCTGGAAAATTGAGCCCGCGCGCGCGGAGAAGAAAGCAGTGTTTGCGTCGATGACGCGGATGCAAGTGCGTGCGATGGCCGTCCCGCGCAAACGTCCACGACGGCTACATGCATGTCGAAAACCATCGTAGGTGCACCTCCTCGCTTTGGGTCCGGCTTCTCGGTAAAATACCCCGAGGCACGGCCGTCTTTCAATGCTCAAAAGATTGCGGAACCACCCCGTGTGTATGCATGCGAACGTCGCTATACAGACATCGAAAGTGCGCAGGCAGATTCAGCCTCGCGCGGGCCTGTCATTAAGCGGCGGTAAGCGGGACGCCCCTCCTAAGGTCGAATGCGTCGAGATGTCGTAGCCTGCGGAGACAAATTGCGCAAGCTGCTTCTCTTCCTTCATTTCGTTATTCTTGTGGCAGGCTGGCGTTGGGCACGACGTATAGGGCCATTTTCAAGTGGTGTCTTTTCAGAAAAGCACCGCTGCCTTTCGGGAGTCTTGCGCGGAAAACGATTTTCAGGTTTAGGCTTTCAAGATAACCAAAGCACAGCTGTAAGCAACGTCTTGATGCAATATCAGGGTGCTTGTGCAATACTATCGAAGGCGAAGTTCTGCTCAATCATACGTATAGAGGAAATTGTTGCCCGAGGAAGGCGGGATCGGAATAAATGTTAATTATAAAATGACGTACGATGCACACAAACGCATAGACACATACATACATACATACATACATACATACATACAATGTTTTATTCTTCAATAAATTGCATATTTCTTCTCCATGCTCAGCTTCTCGCATTTCCATGAACAACAACAACAACAACAACAATAATAATAATAATAATAATAATAGCAATGCTCTAATAATATATTAATAATAACAACAATAATAATCATCTGCACTACTCAAAGAGCTTAATTCTCCCTTCGCTCCTCAGCGAACTATGTTGCAGTGTTCGCTCGACTTCTTTTATGATATTTTCAGCAGAAAGATTGGTTGTTAATGCGTGTTATCAACAATTCCAATGGAACGGTTTCTGTTAATACGGACGCTTAAACTTTACTTACGCACCCTGTTCACTGCCGTATGCTTACGCGTGTTAAGGTGATTACTTACTACCTTGAATGATGGAGTTCCCAGTCAGCGTTAAAGAATTTAGGACGCTTGGAAACATGCAGACAACACAATTTAATCAAAGTACTCAGAATTTCCAGCACGTGTAAACCCGAACAAGTTCGGTGTTCTAGTTTCAGTTTCTCTAATTAAAAAGCACGCCTGAAAAGCAGGCAGATAGCACGCTAAACTGCCGTGTAGTTTCTAGTTTTGTGAGCTTGGCCAAATAAATTGCACAGGAAATTGGTTTCTCGTCAACTGAAGAGAACTTGACAAATATGCAAATGTAGAATATTGGGATTGCTAGTCTTACTTGAGAGTTACATGCTCTATTAACCACTATCTTATGACGCATCACGCGAGTTAACCCGTAGAACCATCTGAGAAACTATGTACTTTCTAAACAGTTCCATTCTTTTCCTCTGTTGGTTCGAACAGGTACGCCTGCGCTACGCCACCAAGTCCTGCTTTGGCCTGGCGCTCACCCTGGCAGCGTTCGCCGCGTTCGCACAGTTCCCGAACGTACTGCGTTCAACCTACCGTCACTACGTTAAACGCTCCGCAAGCGAGAGCCTCGTCGGCGAGCCCGTGTTTCGGGACAAGCAGGAGCCCTCGGTGCGAACGATCGTAGCGGCCGGCGCAGATCACGACGCTCTTCGTCGTCGTCCCGGCGTCAGCGAGCCGGCCGGCGCGGCGGACAACAAAATCGAGACGCAGAAGCGCGGAGCCAAACCCGCCGCCGCGTACCGCCTCATCTCTCGGAAGGCGGAGCAAAACCGGCGCGTTGCCGTCCTCTTAGAAGAGAGCCTCAAGAGGCTGGACAGAGTCGCCGCCGCCGCCAACAAGAGCAAGAAGGTGGCGAGACCGAAGCCGACGTGGCTGCCGCCCTATAACCCTTCCAAGTACCACTTCACGCTCAACCCGAGCCTGTGTTCCGGAGACGTCCCCATCGCCTTCCTGGTTCTCGTCCAGTCAGCCATCAAGAACTTCGACCGGCGAGCACTCGTCAGGGATACGTGGGGGTCGGTGTGTCGGCACAGCGACTCCTCGACCGGAGACGCTGTGGTGTTGTGCCGACTGGGCTTCGTGCTGGGAACGAGCCCGGACCCCGTGCTGGAGCACAGGCTCCGCGAGGAGTACAGCCGACACGGCGACTTGGTGCAGTCCGATTTCGTGGACTCCTATTACAACCTGTCCCTGTCCACGGTGACGGGTCTACGATGGGCGCACGAGAACTGCAAGAGATACGGGTATGTATATATCGGCACGCATTCGAATGATTTAAGTGGCAAGAGAGATTATGGGACTTATAATTATGCAATAGACGTCATAGCAGCTAATTTTGTGTACTTGCATAACACTGTATTGTAATGGCTTAATACAACATTTATGCAAATAGTCGAAAATGCCAGTTATAATCAAAGGTGGTGAACGAAGGAACTTAAGAAAGCAATGGTGAATGAAGGGATTTAAGCTGCACTTCCTAATTGCTCACAAAAAGTTATTTTTACTGGTGTAAACATTACTCATGCAAGACATATTTAAAAAAAATTCTACGGAGATTAGTCCAAGCAGGAGAGAGTGTACATAAACAGACAAAAAAGAGATCAAAACTTTTTGCGTAGCAAGGGTGAAGAAAGTTGTAATGCATTCCGCTCACCGATTGTTCGCGGGAAGAATGAATTTTTGTAGAAATAGTTGAGAATACAGGTTTGATGTGATGGCTGTGCATGTGATGGGAGGCTCGACCGATGTGTTTCTGAAAGTAATCATCGGAGTTTCCGAACTTAATAAAATATGCCGAAGATAAAATTTAAACGTGCCTGTTTTCTTATTTGAGATAGTGGCTCTAATTCAACCATCTGTTGTAAATCTGACGGTGAATCAAGACGTCTGAAACGTTTGGGAACGTAGCGGGCAGCCAACCTTTGCATTTTTTCAAGTTTTTTTGTGGTATAAGGGGTATAAGGATCCCAAACGGCACTGCCGCATTCTATAGAGGGCCTAATAATTGTTTTGTGCGTCAACCAGAAAAGGGGGGATTCACTCAAGTTGTGTTTCGGAGTGCTAATTTTTTGGGGGGCTTTAGAGCCTATGGCATTTATATGGGTTAACCTGTTAAGACTGGAAGGTAACGTTAACTCTTAAATATTTGCATGCCATAACTTCTTCAAGGGGTTATTTTTCGTACAGTAGGTAAAAGAAAATTTGTTGTATTTGTTTTTTGACGGTTAGTTACAATTTCCTATTTGTTGCACCAATCCGCCAATCAATCTCTGTGACTGCCAATATCAATCTCATATAAATTCTTGTGTGTCATATCAATCTGTGACTGTCAGCAAGGAGTCCGGCGAACCGATCATTTGATCAGAAGAAGCTAGCAGTATACCAATGATGCTGGAAAATCAACGTTGTTTTCATTGATTTTACTAGTCACTTTTTTTTGCAAGAATGACTAGGAAAACCATTGCGAAACTTTGCTAACGCGGCTACTTCTACCGGCTTGAGGCATTCCACTGGAACCAAAATTGTAAAACTTGCAGCGGCTAGCACGAATGGCAACACCGTGTTCAGCACCAAACACGTTTTCCCACAATGAGCCGCGACCTAGAGTTACTGTATGAGCTGCCTTTAGGCCCGTAGAGAGCATATACAAGAACTCTACCGCCACATTGTCAAGCCTGCCCTCTCCGCGCTACTGGACTTCCTCGGCGGCAGTGGGCGGCTTGAGTGTATTTAATTTTTCTTGTTTACTTCTTTCTTGGCATACGACGAGTGAATACTCACCCTATTTTTTCTCCCTCCTTTCGTTTTGTTTTCTCTTCTCTGTATTCTTTCACCTCCCCACAACCCTTCCTTTGTGCACTACTTCTGAGTAGTCCTTCTCAGAAAGAGACGGTCATGGGGTGCAGATTTCTTTTTTTTTATTATTTCAAAACCACTACTCTGATCTAGTGACGCGGCTGTACGTGGCTGACTATACCAAGGTCATCCGCTTTTCACCCACTTTTACTCCACAGCCTCTGGCCACCATCAGAGGCAGCTGATCAGAGAGGTCATCGCCGATGAAGACTTCGATATTGATTGATGATTTGATTGATACGTGGGATTTAACGTCCCAAAACCACCATATGAATATGAGAGACGCCGTAGTGAAGGGCTCCGGCAATTTCTACCACCTGGGGTTCTTTAACGTGCGCCCAAATTTGAGCACACGGGCCTACAACATTTCCGCCTCCATCGGAAATGCAGCCGCCACAGCCGGGAGTCGATCCCGCGACCTGCGGGTCAGCAGCCGAGTATCTTAGCCACTAGATCACCGCGGCGGGGCGACTTCGAAATTGACGTGCTCGTACACGTATCCCAGAATACAGCATTCGACAGATTTTTACCGAGTGCGGACACAGCTGTGAAAGAGTCACACGTGCGTAGAGAAAGCATAGGTTCTATTCATTCAATGTTCGTATTCACCAAGAACCGTGTAACGTAAGGCAGACTTCGTAAGGAGGCTGGACTTCTGAAAATCAAGGCCTTATCAACAGTGGTGGACAGAAGGACTTCGTGCAACGCGTAATTTGGGCAGATGAGGCGAGGTTTTGCCGGATTGGCACCATGAATATTCACGACACCCATTATTGATCCAAGGGAAACCGACACTGATTAATATAAAAGAAATGCCAAGTTCCCTTTTAACCTCCTTGCCTTTCTTTTCCCTCTATTTTCCTTCCTTCCTTCCAAGTTCCCTGGAGTGTGAATGTTTTGTATGGAACACTCGAGACTAAAAGCATTCACCCTAACATTCGGAGATACTTTCAATGGGAAGAAATACGCGCGTGAGATGTCAACGAATTCCACTTCCATCTTCCCTTGAACAGCACTGCGCTCACAGTGGTCCCTTGACCGATCTGCACCAGGCATGGTTCCAGCTTGGCGGAGCATCACCGCATTTCTCACCGTCTGCAAAGAGCCGTTTTGTAGCAAAAAGCCATTTGGTTCATTTGATTATAATCAATCTTAAACACGCAGCACAAAACAAGGATCAAAGAAGATAGAAGATTATGCCTACACAGGCACACACTTGAAAGTTTACTGAAGAGACAATACATGTATAGCTTACAGATTAAGCATGTGTCACCTAAAAACATAATAACTTTCCACATTTGATTTGTGAAGGTACATACATCACAACCAAAAAACGGGAATATACTAGGAATGCGGGAGGGCAGTGTGGTGAGTTAGCGCTGGTTGTCGATCAAATAAGAATGCTTTTTCTCTGACACGGCAATATACGCCTGGCTTACACATTGATTTCCGCTCCTGTTAGTGTAGATAGTTTCAATTAATTTGCGAGTAGTTTCATACCAGTGTCTAGATTGTACCACGTGCTTAACGAATTGGGGGACCCTTTAGCTTCGCCTTTAAGAGTTGAACACGATAGCCAAATCCGGTCCCTAGTGCACCCTTCAACCGCTAAGTACATACTTGTGGATATGTTTTGTTAGATACACACGCACGTACACAAACACGCACTCAGTAGATTGGCCCAGCGCGCGCTATTATCGCTGAATGGGCTCGTTTTCGTCGTGATACCTGTCGAACAAAATGCGCTAAAGGGGCCCTAAAACACTTTTTCAAGTAACCATGGAATGAATTCACTAGAAGAGCTTATTGCCTCACGAATTTAACGCCGCAAAATTTTAAGAATCCGTCCAGTGCGAGTGGACTTACAACGGTTTGTCGCAAGCTGCAATTGCATTATCTCTTCTCTCATCCCGACAAATGCGCTGGAAGCTAAGCAGGGAGGGGTGGGCAAAAAAACTACTACGCCTCGTGACCTTAAGCACCTTTTTTTAAAGACAATAGTCTTTCTTGGGGACCTTCGACTCAAAAAGTTTGGTCTGTCTGTCTGTACATTTGTCTGTTTGTCCACTCTTACCGGCATCAGGTACTTGAAACGGCTGACCCCATCCGCAGCGCCCACCAATGTTGTTCAAGGTTGAGCGTTCATGCTTGTGTAATTGTCAATTAAAAAGCAATTATTGCGCATGTATGGGGCACCATAACAATACGTATATATTATGCATGTGCGTCTTTTACTAGAAGAGGCATACATAAGTAATTTTAAGGACCGTAGCGCTTATCACGCCACACTGACCATGCAACGATTGCACGGAAAAGCGAGTGTTTCCAACGCTTTACTAAGACGAGACGGTGGTGGCCCCTACCCGTCGCTTTGCGTTCTACACCTTATCACCACTGAGATGGGCGCGCACACCCGTTTCAGAGCCACGCGCTTTGTTTTCTAAGATAACTGCCAGATGGCGCTCATGTCTCATGTATGACGTGACTTGATGCGCTCGTTTACCTCCGCTGCACGCTCGAGGCACTCTAACGCAGCGTCTCCAGAATACCATTCATCGATTTTCTTGCGCAGAACATCAAATAAATGTCTTGTTCACTCTCTCCACACGCGAGATTATCGTCTTTCGACAACATTTGCAGAAGAATTGCAGATACGGCGCCTTTTTTCTTCTTCGAGCGCGCAGCATTGCCTGTGTGATCGCGCGCGCACGAGTGGCCAAGTAGCGGCCTCCCGCGGCTATCTGGGTAACTTGATTTCTCGGTCAGAGACGCAATGATGATTTTTCACTCACAACCAACGGGGCCAACGCAGGCGGCGGGTTTCCTGCGACACGAGCTCTCTAACGCTATCACGTTAACATGTGTTGCCTCTTTAATACACTTCAAGTTCCGAGTTCACGTCTGTGTCGTCGTTCTCTTCTTTCGCCCCTGTTTTGTTTCCCACACCTCATTTTTGTCTGCATTTGAATTGCAAAGAGCTGGCTGGACAATAATAGTCCAAGAGTGTGGATCGGGCGTGCAAAAGCTATGTTCTGGCTACCAAGATCACCTCATTTTTCTCCACTTCTATGTTTTCTATTAGGCCGCCGGAAAAATCGAGTTTGTTTTAGATAACATAGGTCGCTGATATCGATTACACAAAAAGCATAGTATCCTCCTGTGCAAAAATTGTACCGGAAAAGCGGTTTCTGTCTCGCAAGAGAAAATGGCTGACGCAATCTATAGACAAGCACGCAGAAGACACGGACTCTCTTGTGTTTGTGTGAGAGGGAAGCACTTAGAACACCTTTTAAAGCATCCCAATCTTGCTGCGTGCTGTGCAGGGGCGCATACAGCCGCTCATTATAAGGGGGGGGGGTGACAAAATAACACCAGAGAGCGAGGCGAG